CTTGATCCAAGCTTGAAGCTCATATGGAGGAAAACAAATAGACGAAGCTGAGGGAATCATCAGCTGAGGACATGACTTACTCGATGCAACAAATCTGATCATCATGGTCAAAGCAGCACAAGAGAAACATTAATGGGCATGCTCTAGTCTGGGCTTCTCACCAGTTAAACGTCTGTAGCATGAGGCATGCAGGACTGCAGGCTGTAGCCAGAGCATTAATATATGAAATGAATTTGCCCCCTAAGTTTGAAGTTCTCTCATATTTAAAAAGTCCAAAAAGTGCTTTGATAACAGAAGACTTCTAACGGACTTCTTAATTAACATCTGGCTCCCTACCCTACAACTTTGGTTTTGAATATGGGCATCTTCTTGGCTGTAACATTTTTCTGATGGGTAGCAGTGAGTACCACTTCCATTCTCAAGTGTATAAGCACTGAAAAAATCCAAGTAATGTAAATTACTTTTTTGAATGGATCGATAATCTAAATATTGAACAGTTGAGAAGTATGCATTTCTAAATGATTGAAATAAGAAAAATGGTCATTGATTCTCCAGCAATTCAGTTTTCCAGAGGAAAGCCACAGAATCTTTGTATGCAGCTCTTGGGGCTTCCTAGTCATTACATCCATTGAATATAAAACTGTTGCATTGCAGGTAAATTCTTGTTTTGCTGTCCTTGGCTTGATATCCCTTCGAGTAAGTGGTTCTTGGTTGAAAAAAGCCTGGGGGGGAGTGTGTCTTGTGAGTTAGCTCGCGCTGGTTAGTGTTCGCAGTAAAGGTGGGTGAAGCACATGACCTGCAAGATGAATGTTACTTGGAATTGCAGGGTACCTGGAGAGGGGGAGAGCTCTGCTCTTCGGTTTCTGTGTGTCACTACACTGCAGGCACCAGCACTCAGGGAAAGGTAAACCACTGCTGCATGGTGCTCCTTCCTAACCCTGCCTACTCTTTCTGGAGCTGCTGCTTGTCAGTACACGTTAAGAGCTTTGCAATAGGTGATGTGAACCTAAAGCCTGATAGTAACAGCTCTTTTGTGAATTTTGTTAAGAAATCTAAGTGTAAGGAAAATAATTCTTGGCAGAAACAGACTTTGCCTTTTTTGCTTAAGCAACCAAAAATCCAAGAGCAGTTCCATCTTTCTGAAAAACTCTGAAATTATCTAAGATGCTGCTGGGTCCATTAGCAATTCCCAGCTCTCCTTTTTTTATTTTTTTTATTTTTTTTTTTTTTAACCTGATTTCCTAAGATCGTGTAACCACATCATCAGTAAGTTTGCTCCATCCCCACCCCTTCAACCAGGCAGAGTCCTAGGACTGAGATTGAGATGGTGCTGGTCACTTCACCTTGTACTTCACAAAAAACATCCTTCCCTTTCACCTTGTTCCTGCTGGCTGGAATTTTTGTGAATTTATGAGCTGCTGAGCAATGAGGGATGCCATCCTTTGCTGACGTGGGTTATATTTACGGAAGAGGCGGTGAGATCTTTTGGAATTTTGGAAAAGGCTGAATTCTTGATTAGATGTCACTAAACAGTTCAAAGGTGAAAGCGGCGGCGTCTTAAGGGAAATAAGCACTTCTTGAGTATTCTGGAAAAGCACTATTTAAAAACTCAGGCTGCTGGTCAGAGACCTCTCAGCAGCAGTGGCAGAGCTTAGCTGACCTCATTGCCTTTAGAGATCACTTAAAAAAAGTATATAGGTGTGTATATATATATAATAAAATACAGCCTGCCAGCAAACATTTGAATTCAGGAGGCACAGCAGCAGAATTCTGTCATGCTCAGCTCCTGCAGTGACATTGAACTAGATGAGAATTGCTTCGGAGTGTTTAATTTGTTATGGTATATATACATGTTCTTTCCCATTATCTCATATATATTTCAATTAAGCCTAAACGCCAAAGAAAAAGAAATGCAGGGAGCTGTTGCTGCCCAAGGGTTAGGCATGAGGCTTCTTAACTGTGGAAATGTCGTTTCCAAATTGAAATTGTTTTAAGTGAGTTTTCTGGTTGGGGTGGAAACTGTAGAGCTGCAAAAAAAATTGACAAATGACAATTTTAATGCTCATGTTTGAGGAGCCAAACAATAAATACCCCTGTGCATCACTGGTTAGAGGTGGAGTACAGTCCGTGGTTTTCCAGGAATGCCAAAGGCAGGAGCCAGCAGTGGGATGCCGGATGAGTTTACAGGCTCTTGCAGAGTTTGGGAAGTGTTTGATTCCCCTCAATGCCCACTCTGTTTTCCTTACCTTCAGCTGCCTCTTAGGACTCATTAATTTTCTGAGCTTTCCAGAGCTCCCTGCCACCTCACCTCTGACCAGCTGGCATGCCCGAGATGCTGCCCATCACGGGTAATTTCAGCTCATCAAATTCCACCAGGCGAGGCTGCTTCCGGGGTACCTGGGAGTTGTATTTTTCTCGTTTAGCTTCATTTTTGGACACTCTGCTTCCTCAGCAGATGGCATTTTTATCATGTTTTCGGAAAGTCCATATGGCCTACAAGAGAGAGTATCTCTTTAATTGTAAAACATGACCACCTGTTCTGATTTTAATGAATGCAGTGAGCATTTGTCTTCATATATCTACTTAAAAATAGCTGCTTCAATTGAATTAAAAAAAAAAAACCTCAATTGGGCACCAACACTTTGGCTGCTGAAATAATCAATTAATAATTAAGTGTCTAATTTTAGAACCCACTGGCCTTACCCATTCCCACAGACTCACTGTGATCAGAGCAGACAGTGATTGATTGCCCTGCTGATGCCGAGAGGCGCACGCAGTGCTGGGGCCAGATGCCGGCAGGCTTCGAGGTGTTTATTGCGATATTTAGAAGGTGAATGCAACTTCGTGTCTCTGCTCTGCAAATGGACTTGTCTCTCCTGCTATGGCTCGCTCTTCTCCGCATTGCCCCAGCTGCTCACACGCAGCCATCCGCAGGTACCCCTTTCCCTGCCACCCTCTGAAGGGTAAAATCTGGTGCTCTGAGGTGTCCTACTGACGGGCCAGCTGGAGAGGAGGTTGAAACTGTAAGCAAAAATAGACTTGAAAGGCTTATCCACTAACTGGCTCCTAATAGAAAGCCCTGCTAGAATCATTCTGCTCATTAAAATAACAATTGCTAGTTAACTGTTTCATAGCTCCTGTAGCAGGTCTGCTGGCCAGATGAGAAAATGTGGCGTTTTTTGGCTCAAGCTTTCAGAGAGGTGGAAGAGACCAGGATGCCCAAATCTTGCTAAAGGAGTGTTAATTTTCAAAGGGACTTTTAATTAAGCATTAACCCCTTTATCGAATAAGCCTGTTGCAACATGGTCTTGTTGCAAAGCTGATTGAAATACTCAAATGGTAGAAACACAGTGGGATTCTAGTTGATAAGTGTTGGCTCTTTGGAGGGTTAATATTTCAGAGGTGGGAAGGAACAGGAGTGTTTATAGAGTGCTTGGGGGGTACAGCACTTCCCAGGGGTTCAGTGCTAGCAGTAATGTGTACAGTAACTGCTGGGCTTCAATACAAGGGGGTAATTCAGCAGTTAAGTGTAAGCGGTGGAGAAAACTTGATGTGGCTGTGTGGAGCATCTGCTTTTACGTGGCAAGGAGGGAGAGAGCTAAGAACCTCTTACCAGAGAAGTCCCTGAACCCATCACATTATTCAGAGCAAGATGCTGGAAGCAGTTAGAGGGGGAAGGCAACTTGGCTGCTTGCCTCATTTTACTGAAGGTGCTTCTGACACAGCCCCCCCATCCTGCCACGGCCACCAATTAGCCTGTTAATACGGGGCAGAAGCTACCCTTGCTGGCCTGATGGCAGTTGCTGTAGCCTGATCGATGTAAATCCAGTTATCTCTCAAACCACATGGGATTTTGAGACAGCTGGGTGGTGTTTGTGCGGCTGAGAGCTTTGAAATGCTGTGCAAATACAAAAATAACTGGAGCTATTGGCATTTAAATTCATGTCTATGTAATCTTTGTGATAAACTTCCATTGGCTGGGTGTTACTTCAGTGGGAAGAGGGTCAGAGCAGTTTTCAGCTGACGTCTGGGTATCGCAAGTTGCTTGGTGAGAAAGGCGTCCGGCTCGGTTTCCTTACGTGTGTGTGGCCTTCCCTCCCTGCGCTTCCAGAATAGCAGGGGATAATTAAATGAATTTCAACATTAAAGGCTGAAAGTCAGGAAGGGAGAAGCTTATTAACCTTGCTGAGCTGGAAAGAGTACTGGGGGTGTTTGGGGCTTGGGTCTCGTGGGGTTTTCTATTTTTGTTTTTCTGTTTTTTGGGGGGGGGGAATTGACATTTAGTTGTGCAGAAAATAAAACGTTTCGCTAATTCTGTTGTGATCCCTTTTATGTGGTTGTGGCACATCTGTGAATTAAACCTTAAGAACTAGAATTTAGTCTGTTCTCTCATTAGCAGAAATGCTAATTCTGTCTTGATTGGTAAGAAAGCCAAAGGAGAGAATAAAAAAAAAAAAAAAAACAAACAAACAAAAAAAAAAAGTACAGTAAACATGAGAAATTTAATCTTTATTTTCCATGATCCAATTTAACTAGCAGACAGACTGAGTTTTTGGTCTCAAGTTCTCAAACAGTCTTCCAAGAGGGGACAGCTTGAGGAAGGAGAAGGGGGTGCAGGGGCTTGGAAATGGCACTTGGAGCCAGGCAAGGAGCCAAGGCGGCAGGCAGGAGAGGCAAGAGTCCTTTTAGCTGCTGGCTTGCACATGGGCCAAATGGGGCTTGTAGGAGGACACGTGTGTGTGCACACATGTGTAGATGCACCTTTTTCCCTCGCCAGCTCTTTGGAAGGCTGCTGGGACCCTCCCGGACTGGATTTTGGAGCCATTTTAAGAAACCTGCTTAAACACTCCTTTGCTATAGCGCAGACCGTTTATCCTAGATGAGGCTTTAAGTGAGATGTCAAAGCTGCAAGCAGGACTTGTATTGTGAGCTGACTATTGGAGGTCCCATGCACCCTTCTCAATTGATAAAATTTTGCCCCTTTCCTTTCTCATCATCAGATCACTGTGTTCACTACTACGATCTTCGCAACACTAAGCAGCCAATCATGGTGTTCAAAGGGCATCGCAAGGCAGTCTCCTACGCAAAATTTGTGAGCGGGGAAGAAATCGTCTCTGCGTAAGTATTGCCTTTTATGTAGGCTAAAAACTTTGTAGTCCTTGCTTTCTGGCACTCTTCAGGGCCGTCATGCAAGTTCACCTGTGTGGGTGGGTGCACTCGCTAGCTGCTGTGCTTTTGGGAAGCAGATTGTTGCTTTTTTCCAAGACAAAAATAGAAATTCATTCCACCCATTGGCTCTGCTCTATCTTGTGGAGTTAAAGTGCTTATGAGGAATACGAAGACAACTAGATGCAGCTCCTGACCACAAGCCCTGACTTTGGGATTGCTGCGGGTGGACTCTCATTTTACAGAGTGGTGTGTGTGCTGAGGATGGTCCTGACTAGAGCTCTGCTGTAGAGAAGGCTGCTGGCAGCTCCCTAATAATAATAATAATAATAATAATAATAATAATCAGTAAAACACAGCTGATGAGTGCCAGAAGTGATCAAATGCTGCTGCTATGTCTGAAGAGGAGGTTTAGCTGCAGCCTGAAAGCAACTCGAGTGGGACTGACTGATCTGTTCTCTGGTAATTTATTAATCTGCTCTGTGAAGGCCCTTTTTAGGATTATACTTGGGTTAGAAAGTAGATAAGGAGAAGTTGTGTTTTGTGGTCTTTTCAGGCAAGGTAGGCCATAAGATCTACTGTGGAGACCCTAAAGAGTGCTATTCTACAGCTTACGTTCAGTTATGTGGCCAGATGTATCTGTCCCAAAACCAGATGTGGCTGCCCCAGTTCTAGGTAGGTTTTCAGCTGTGTGGGAATGTCTGTTGGATCACGACGTGAAAGCTTTGAATGGCTACAAACTTCCTTCAGTAAAGCAGAGGTGAGCCCCTCTTACACAGTGAGGGAAATGCAGGCAACCTTGGGGCGTTGCAGGGGCATCTTTGAACTCAACACGCTCGTGTATAACACCCGAGGGCAGCAGGGATGGATCACAGGGGTTAATCTAGTCCCAGAAAGTATGCCTGCTGCTTTATACCAAGCCGATGATTACCCAGCTTGGCTCTGTCCCATGTGTTCACACTGCTCCAGAAGCCCAGAGCCAAAGCAGAGCACTTTAAGGTATATTCATTCAGTCTGCTAGTGAGTTACTCTGAGATGTGTGATTGAAGATTCCCTGGTGGCTTCTGGTACTGCTTATATTTTATCAGCTTCTCTCTTCTTATTGCCATTAACATTATAACTCTATACAGGTGCAAATTCATACCTAGAACACAGAGAAAATTAAATTTAATGCTTTGAACAAAATCTGGGTAAGAAGAAAGTTTTTAATAGGAGCAGAAGACCGGGAATGTTTTATAGTCGTGATCAGGTGGAGCATCATCTATGGGATGTTTCAAGACAGAATGGCCCTATCCTTCTTGAGCTGACCATCTGAGAAAGCTTATCACACAGTCCCAGGAGGAATGTCGATAAAACTGTCAGACTTGGACAGGCAACAACAGGGTGAGGGGACTAACTGGAGGGTTCACCTGTCTTTTTCTGCATGAACAGAAAGAAATGTCAGAGAGAGCAGATTATTTTTCATTACTGTCTTTTGCAAATTGAGGAGAGGAGACAGCAGTCATGATTCCCAAAAATCAAGCACTGATTTCTTTTAAGAAAAAATTATATGTATATTCAGATTCTCCAGATTTCTAGCTAAAGCTGTTTTATAGATTGCATTGATTTACTTTGCCTTGTAGAGTTAGGTTTTGACCTCAAGGGTGTTCAGAACTGCCTGGTGTTTAGCACAACACATTGATTGCAGTGCTGATTTACAGAGAGACAGATTTTTACAGAGCAGTGCATCCATGATATTTTTTTGGAGAGGGTGTGAAACCAGAAGAGCAGTGTAGCACCATCAGGATCAATGGCCTTTTCCTCTCCTTGAGGTCCAGTGGCAGATAACTTCTTTCTTTTACAGCATGCTTATCCTAAGCAATGCAAATACGGCTAGAGCTTGATAGGAATTTAACAGTAAAATCATGCCATTAGTAATAGACTTTAAGTGTTTTTATTTTAATGAAGAGAACGAAGACTGTATGCTACTAAAATAGAGAGGTTAAGTGCCTGTATATACAAGGTCTTCTTGATGGGTTAGCTAATAGCAGAAGCTGTCACAGGAATCTGACAGCTTGTAGACCAGGAATTAGTCTTTTGCTGCTTTACCCTGCCTGCAGAAAAGTTTAGTTTCCAGGCACCTCTGAAGCTCTTAAAAGCAGTGTTTTAAAAATACAGCTGCCCTAATGGCACAGAAGGCACCTCCCTGTAAGTGTGGACCAAAAAAGCAGTAGTGTATACCTTTTTCCCCCTTCTGTGAGCTCTGCTTGCTACTGTGGTGGTAAGGACAAGAGAAGGGATGAGAGTGAGCAGCAGCGTAGGCAGGGATGGATGTGGAACAAGCGTCAATCAGGGGAGCTGAATACTCTGTTTTAGGGCCCCCTGGTCAAGACCTGGGATGAGGAATGCACTCCTGCTTAAGTCACAGTATTACAGATAAAGTTCATACCTTCGTTCCGATCTGACCTCATACTATTATTACAAATGACTAACAAATCTTGCTGCAGCTCCCTTATCGCTCCTTTGTCATTCCAGCTGTCATTGAGGACTGAGATAAGGTTTTTGCAGTATAGCATGAGGTGCATCTCTCCTCTTTTGTGCTATATTTTTAGGAAAATGTGACATTGGTGCAAGGCTAATGTCTTATGTCATTGGTACTATTTGATGAATATTGGGTGGGGGCTTTTCCCTTCAACTCCAAATATTCAGAAAGCAGCAAGGTTGGGTGACACGACCTGCATGAGGGGAGCGTTGCCTGCCTCCCCTCCCTCCCACCCAGGAGGCTGACAAGTCCCGCTCCCGACCTCTTTCAAATTTAAGATGGGAACAGCACTACACCTTTCCTCAAAGATGGCTTCACGAGGCTTTGGTCCCACCACATCACCATTTGTTCCCCTACTGAGGAGCGTATCTCCATAAGTCAGTGAGTGCCAGAATAGCAGAGCCTGGTGACTGCTAGAGCATAACGCCTGTGAAGTGAGAGGCGCTCATGTCCTCTTGGGTTTGGGGGAAAAAATAATTTTCTATCTCCTGGAAACATGGGATTTTCCTGTTTCAGTTGAGCTCTGCCAGGCAGAGGAGACTACCTCCACCTCCTCTCTTTTGCCAAAGGGAGAATGTTTGCTCACAGTAAATAGAAAAACATTTTTAAGGCAGGTATGTTTTCATGTGGAGAAACAATGGAAAACATCAGGTTTAATCCCAACAGAGTTAGTATCTTTTTAATAGCAATATTTAGCTTCTCTGCCAAGCTGATAAAAGGAGAAGTTTGAGATCTGTATCCATGCAGTCTCAATTACACACGAGAAAACCACATCAATTTATTGCTAATAGCAACTCTGAGCTCCCAGAGGTTTTACGTGCTGCTGCTTGGTATTGGGCAGGAGGAGGAGAACATGCCTTCAGGATAGCTGGAGAGTGAAGAGACTGCTTTCTACCTGAGTCCCATAAAGGCATGAATGAGAGTTGCAGGTGGCATGGAGAAGGGAATAGATTTGGTCCATGCTGTAGAGGTTTAGGGGAAAAAAAAAAAAAAAAAAATAAGAATTCAGTGTGTTCAGGATGTGTGAGAATCTGAAAGAGGCAGTGATGGCCCAGAGGCTGTACAGTTCAGTGGAAAACTGCAATTGATAGGAGAAAGGATGAGTAATACTTTGGGGAAGTTTTTTATTCAAACATGTAATGCATTTTTACAGGTTTCTAAAATAACGTAGTACCTTTCCGAGCTCAAGCTGAGTTGCTTATGATTGAAAGTGGGATAAATCTCCTGGAGTGCACTAAGACTTCCTATGTTTACATTGCAAGCAGGGTGTTACGGAGCAGGGTTGCAAGCGAGGAGCTCTTGCCATACAGCAGCAGGGTAACTTGAAGTATTGTTTTCAGGTCAACAGACAGTCAGCTGAAGCTGTGGAACGTAGGGAAGCCTCACTGCTTGCGCTCCTTCAAGGGTCACATCAACGAGAAGAATTTCGTAGGGCTGGCGTCCAACGGAGACTACATCGCCTGTGGTGAGTAGAGCACCCATCCCAGCAAATGCTAATGGGACTCCTCGGAGCTGCTGGCTCTCCAGATGCAAAGCACACCAGCAGTTGTGCTGCGTAGCCTCATGGGCTTTTTAGTGGAGGATTACTCTGAACTTCCACCCTCCTTCACTTCCCAGGGGGTGGCATAAGGAACCCTGACCTAAGGGGGTCTGTGGTTGATTTCCTCCCATTTCAGATGCATTCTTTGTGTGTGATGATTCAGACTCGCTGTCACCAAAAATAAGCTACTAATGTAGTTGCTGCTGATATGACTTAGGTCTTTCAAGTTGATGAACTGGCACATCCTCCCGCATCTTTCTAAGGAAGAGCAGAAGCCTGGACCACACGAGGGTCCTGTACTTGACACTTAGTGCGGCATTCTGCATGGCAAAGCAATAACGCCCTCATTGTGAAAAACTTCCTAGAAGACCAAGTCATCCAGAAGCACTTACCCCTTAGCTGTTTTTGTCCTTTCACCGCTTACGTTGACCTGTTGAACCTCTGTAAATCCACCGGTCTTGGTGGGAAAGCAGTGACAGGCTGATAGCTGTGGGATGAGCAGAACAGCTGTGACAGCGCTGAAGGGAGGACCTTAGCTTGTGTATTCTCTGATCTCCGTACAGCTTGCAAGACAGAAATTAGGATAGATTTCTAAATAAAGCCTGCACACTGTCTAGCCTCTCTGCCTTAAACCTCCACAGACCAAACTGTCATCCCAGATTACGGCAAGCAGAACTGTGACAGTGCTACCTGCCTTAGAGCTGTAACGCCGCGCAGGCTGGGTGTGCTAGCGTAGATGCTCTGCTCTGCTCAGAATTCTCTGCCCTAAGGAGGTTAAGGGGAACGGTTGGGATCCTGTATGCTTTGCAAGTGCGCCGCATACTGCAGTTGTCTTATAATAAAACCTGATCCTGTTATTAAGCACCGGGAAAGTTTGCTGTGGAGCACTCTCAGTTGCCAGGGCAGCGTGAGCGTGATGATAAACTACAAGGAGAAAGTGTCTGGTTCTGTCTTAAACAATGAAAGAGCTAAGAAACCTTATTTCTTTTCCCACTACCAGAATCTGAACTTGTATATTTATTTTTTTATTTCTAGGAAGCGAAAATAATTCCCTTTACCTATACTATAAGGGCCTCTCAAAGACACTGCTGACATTCAAGTTTGATACAGTCAAAAGTGTCCTGGACAAGGACCGGAAAGAAGATGACACAAATGAGTTTGTGAGTGCTGTATGCTGGAGGGCACTACCAGATGGGGTAAGCTTTTTGCTCAGACACCCAGCCGGGTGCGAAAGGAATGCCTCCTGCTTTCTTATGAAATAACACTGTGCTTGGTATTTTCCTGTTTATGGGTTTTGCAGATCGGCATGAGAACATCAAGATCTGCGGGGTAACTGAAATGCTGAGGGAGAAAGGGCTGCTGTGCTCTTAACTATTCCACCTGGGTGTTTGAATTTCTCTACTTGGCATCTGAAATCCCAAAAGCAGCATTGTATTTCTGGCATTTAATATTTTTTTTGTGGATGCATTAGTGAGTTTTTTGTTGCTTTAATGAAGGCACCTGCAGATACTCTCTGTGGAGCTTTATCTCAATGTTACTGTGTCAATATGGGCTTGCTCATTGAAATACAGCCCCTGTGTTTCGATGAGTAGATATGTAAAGGAGGTGAGCCCAGGCTGCAGTCACCTCAATGACTGTTCCAGTGACACTTAATTCATATACATAGCATGTGTACTAATGCTGCAGGCAGACCTGACTGCAGCTTTTGTGTGAGTGGCCTTTCGGCACAGAGCTGCTCTGGAAAACAAAATGCTGCTTTTAAATTCAGAGTGCTCTTGAAATCCTTACATAAAAAAAAAAACTTGAGCAAGTAACTCTCTTGTATGTACAAGGGTTTGCAGATCAAATACTTAATGGGCTTGTTGGGAGGGGGAGGAAAGGAGCTCGTCCTAAATACAATCTTCCAAGTAGCTAAAGTGGAATGTTGCCTAATTGATATCCTGAGATGTTGCATTCACAAAGATAGCATTTTGGAAGGATAATGTCTACCAATCTGTTTCAGGATGAAGAAATTGCCCCCACAGCTGTGATTCAGTTGTCACTGGCATAAACTCACTTCAGATAGACGCTTATGAGTCAAAACAAAAATAAAACCCGGTCTGAAACTGGAGTTTGGATTTAAAAGTAAAAAGTGGGCTGTTGTGGTTTGAACGGTGGGCATGAGCCTTGGTGATGTAGCGTCCCCAACTGCTTTCCGGGTGGCGATTTAGGAGGGTTTGGTACACACAGATGTCGTGTCTCAGATGAAGAGTGGCTGTTAGAAGTTGTGTAATTCGTCTTTCTGCTGTCTAAGAACATGCTGTGGGAACCTGTGTGTCCAGAAAGGCCCTTCCCTGAACTGTTTTCACTGCAGCATTTCTGTGCTGGGCTGTCCTGCCCACTGACCTCCTGGGCAGCTTTTCTACAGGCAAGAGGCTAACTAGGGATGTCTCACCCCTGGTGTTATTTCTGTTGCCGTCTGCTCTTTATCAGTCCTTTCTCTGAATAACATGCTTTAGTATAATGGACCTTCTGCTTAAGTGACTGAGAAACTTTTGAGCAGTCACCAAGGGTTGTCAAGCAATTCTTTGCCACCAATATGAAAAATACTGAGCAAAAATGTAGTAGTTAAATCAGGCCCATCAAGATTGCACTGAATAACGTTCAGGCTTCACTCCATTAAGCAGCACTCAGAACCCGTCACTATTCTGATCATTTATTTTTTTTCCGTCATTCCTCTGCTTTTCCCTGAGCTTCTCCTAAATTAGCCTGTTTCTCCTGTGGCAGCCACAGTAACTGGCTCTCGTTTGTAAAGAAAGCAGCAAAAAGCTGCCAGTGATCTGAGAGCCACTGGCTGGGTGTTCTGCTTCCATGTTTGACCTCTGCCTGTGGTGCATGCCATCCTGCTTTACATACTGAACAAGTAGCCTCGCTTGCTTTTGCCAAGAGGCCTTAATGCTTCCTTGCACCACATGTCCAGTCCCCCCCCGAGACGAGAAGTGCTCTTCACCGATGCAGCCGCACATTTCTCTTCCCTCTTGTAGTGGCACAGCAGTCCTCTCCTACCTAATTGAAACTTTGCTCATGTTCTTAGGAAATTAAATTACTGCACAGCCAAAGGTCACTTATGTCCAAAAAGTCTTGCTCAAATGATGAAACTCTTTTATTCTCCATTTTGATAATGTTTCTTAAATTTGGCATGAGATTTTTTTTCAAATGAGCTTCATATATATATATATATATTATATATATATATATATATAGGCTTCCCTAAAAGCTGGCGTGGTTTTTAATGATGCTCAGATGAGCCAGAGAAGGCTTTTGCCTCACAGTGCTGTGGGAATTGGGAAACCCACAGCCTATTTCTGGCTTATTTGCAGACTTTGATCCCAGGTGAGTTACTCTGCCTTAGTTTCCTAATTATCAGAGTTACGGCACCTTCCTCTCACGGCTGGTGGTGATCACGCCTGCTCTGCTGAAGGGTGCCTGTATCGAAGCAGCTTCAGCCTACCAGCCAGGCTGAGAAACCTGCCCCAGCGCCACGGGGAGCAGGGCAAGTAAGCTTTGTACTGCCGTGGGCAAGCTGTTCCCGTGCCCGGGTGGGCTGGTTCAAAGCCACCTCGCTCGTCCCCGTGCCACGGTCCCTGGGCAGTAGCTTCAGCTGGTTACTTGGAGTGTTCCTGAGCGGGGAGATGTGGCCACTGTGTGCCAGCCGTTCCCCAGCGGAGCAGGCTTTCCTCGGTTTCCCTGGGGTGTTGCTCTCAAGGATTGTTCTTTAATTAACCTTTCGAGATGAGATGAGTAAGTTTCAGATCTGTCAGTTATCTTGGGAAGTATGAGCACATGTAGTCCTTCACTTCATGCACTTAAGTGCAAAATCTCAGATCCTAATTAAAACTTAGCTAAAACTTTCAGATGAAATGTCATTGATTCTTTCTTAAATCTATTTTTATGTAATTCAAGCTTTTACTTCCTCCTGAGCCAAAGTCAAGCTGTGCCAGCAGCCCTTGCCAGAACCCATCTTTTTTATTTTTTGTTCCCTCTGCGTTGGTTTTCCTTCACTCACAAAGATGCAGGGACACTTTTGCTAGAGCTGTCACCTTTCCAACTGCAAAGGTCCAGCCGGTTCCTGCCTTCCACCTGTGTCAAAGCCATAATGAGGGAGAGAAATTGTTCTCTGTAAGTGCTTATTAACATTTTGCATCGGGCTTACTCGCTTTTCAGCTCTTAGGTAATGTTTAGAAATAAGCACTAGCTTGTAGGCTAATAGTTTTGTTAGACTCTGGGCAAAAAAACAGGCAAACAAAAAAACCTCTCAGCAGGTACATCAGGAAGCAAACGTTTGTTCTGCTTCTTGCAGTGCTGTGTTTTGGACAAAAGTAAATAGGCTGTTTAATATTTTTTAAATAGCACTTATATCTTGTGGGGAACGCCATTTCTCACTTTTCATTTGACTCTAAAAATGGATCAATATTTGGAAGTAGAGGAAGCTTCGGGACACTTTCGGCCGAAGTGACCTGATGAACACGAGTCAGACACAGAGGGGCTTTTCAGAACCTCCCCTGAGCCAAATCCTTCTATTTCCCAAGTCAAGGATTTTATAATATACCTGTGCCATCCTTTGTTTCTGGCACCTTGGCAAGATTCAGCCAGCTTGATTTGAAATGTGAATCTGATCTTGAGATTAGGAAACACATTCTTCTATTTCATTAGCATGTAAGCAGACAATGCTTTTTCATGTAGGGATGCTCTTGCATGTAGAGAAAGGAAATTACAGTAGCTGTAGCAGCTCACTGCAGCTAGGTGGGTAGAGCTGCTGTATTTGTCTTGAGAGTGTCATTCCAGTTACATCTAGGTATGTGGATAGTAGCTGAAGGAGGTTGGTTTGTACTTCATTTTCCCTTATGTGTCCTATATGATGTTTTCCCCTTCCCTAAAGGGGACACCTTTTGTTTGGACCTGCTTTGCCATATTGCAGAGTTCAAGATGTGCCCCATACAGCTGTGTTAAGTAATCGCATCTCAAGTAGCCACTTTCCCAGTCATGGTTAGTGTTTCTCAGAAAGAAGCTGTCAAAAGAGAAACCAAGGCTGAACCTGCTCCCAGGACAGCAAAAAGGTATTACTGCTGAACACAGAAGCAATTTGATTATGTAGATTAAGCATGGCTCAATCTATCATAATCACTGTAAAGAAGCCATTTAATTTGGTACCTGTTTGCATGAGTATTCATTACTGCTGATAAGCAGGTTAGCTGGGGAAAGATTTCTCAAGCAGAAATGTCAAGGCTTTGATACCAGTAAGGAGATACAGATAAGAGCAGGAGAATGCCATGCAAATTAGCTTAGGTAAAACTTTGGTTGGTTGGTTTATTTTGGTTTTGGTTTTGTTTTGTTTTGTTTTTTTCCTTTTAGAGAGGTAAGGAAGGGAAATCCATTGAGAACAGTGCTTCAGACTTTAGCCAAGTCCCCTCGCTGCAGTGAGGGGGTGGGTGCAGGGACTCCTGGTACTTGGCTCTGGGAGCGGCGGCGTGGCAGTGCTGTGAAAGCATCCCCCTCTGCCTGAGGGGGGAGAGCAGAAACCCATGTATGCATTTTCTCACCTCGTGGCTCTCCAGAAGTCATTTTAATTTAGGGGAATCTCAAAACAATCATCTAGCCACGAGTGAGAGAAGCAGGCTCTGGGACTCTGGGCTTCAGGTTGCCTTTAGGCACTGTCGTATGATGGAATCATCTTCATAATTAGTCTTGCATCTCTAAACTTCTCTTTGTTAATCTAAGAGGATGGAAATATTCCCTTCAAATAGGTTTTTGGTGCATCTCTTCAGAAAATGAGCTTTTCTTCTGTTTATTTTTCCTTTCCTCTGAACATTCAGCTTTGTTTCTTAATGATGTCTGGCTTGAATTCTTTAAATAGAAACCTATAATTGTACCACAATAAGCTGGTCACTTAATGGAGCAGTAATCTTGTTCACTGATAAAAAGTAGCCATCTTTTGTTTCCCAGTAGCCTAATAAATGGTATACAGTGTACACAGGAGCTAGTCAGGGACTCTGATAATTTATAATCAGCAAATTGGCTCCCTTTGCTGGAATTAATTTAGCCAATACAAATTATTTTGGGAAGTGATTCATTGCCATTTTAAAGCGCTAATTAATTTGGATGACTTATGAACATTAAAAATGAAACCTCCTTTGTCATTCCCAAATAACTAAATGCT